TCATCGTTTCAGGAATTTAATTTTTAGGAACAAAAGGAACATGCAGAAGAGGTTTGCACTCATTTACAAAATGCACTCCTGCCTGTTATATTTGTTCAGAAATGTGAATGTCCTAACATTAAAATCATATATGATAGTTATTACCCTAATTAACTACTGATATGTAAATAGACAGTCTGGTGATGGATATATTGACATTAAAGTTTTAAAAAGCCATAGACGTGATATTAAGGTCATGATCATGTTTTTTCTCGCGCACATAATAATAAGAAAGCCAAATAGCACATATAAATATTTATTAATAAATAAACGTTGTAAAAAACATAGCTAAAGCATTATGCGTAACACACTATGTGTGGCATCCCCATAATTAAAATTAGAAGTGTCTTTGGTAACAAGATTTCTGAGTTAAGCATCCATCTTGTTGTTGAAGTACCAGTACCCACCTTTAACCAGTTTCTCGCTATGTTCCAGAAAACAGATATAAACAAGTTTTGGAATTTGGAAGTGCCATAGGACAAACGTATCAAGATAAAACCAAATGGCGAAAGTACTCTGACCTTTCTTTATTTCATTATTTGATGGAATTCGGCTGATATCTCTTGTTGATAATAGCGCCATTGTTGGTAATGTGGTCTGCAACTAGTTGCAGACACTTATATTACAGCTTTTATGTTCTAAATTCTGCAACATCCCAAGTTGCACTTCTTAGTTGTTGACATACTTACTAATAGTGTAAATTTACGGGAGAAGACTACTCTAGTTATATGGGAATATAATAACGAAATAGGAACATGAGGCAAAGATCCTTCGATCCGGGAGGAATGCGAATACACAAAATATTAGGCTCGAATGACATCTGGAAAATATAAAAAAAATTTGCATGTGTCAATTGTAAGTTTAACAATAAAAAAGTGTAAAACTTATGTTGGTGCCATAAGATTTACATGATATTAACATCAGCATCATAAGATTTATGCAAGTTTATGCTAAATTAATTTCCTGATGTAACTGTTAAGGTTTTTTTGGCCCTAACAAAAACATACACAGAATCTGTTTTCCATGCATTTTTGGATAACTAGAGACATTTTCTGTGTGTTTTCTGGACATTTTTCATGTAAAAAGATACAAAAACATGCTCTTTTACAGGAGGATTCTGTAAGGTTTATACATTTTCTGTTTGGTAAAATAGAAAATATACCATTTTCCATGCATATTTAGTGATGTGCCATTCATAGTAAGCTTGATTTTTTTTGCATACAGCACATGGTGAATACACATAGTGTGCATAATGCATATGCATAAATGTGCAGAATCACACATTATGGGTGTAATATTTTGCTCAATGTGTCATTTTTAACTATGTGTATGGCACATCACTATGCATCTTCCATGCATTTCCATATGTTTTCCATGCAAGGTTTTTTATAGGGCAAGTATTTTGTATTACCATTAAAGAATACTTTGACTGTTTAAGAGATAATAAAACTTATTGGATTACATACCCCCATTCTGCATTGTATTAATTATCTTTGTAATCATCTTTCTTCTTTTCTTTGTTAACCCACTGTTGAATTACTTCTATCATTTTGCTTCTAGTATTTGCTTTTTGTTTTTTTATTGTGGAAGCAGCAGCACCTTTTCCTCTACAAGTAATCCATGAATTTCCATTGCCATTTCACCAAATGAAAAATCAGGATTCAACCCAGTCTTTTTATCAAATAATTGTTTGAAATCCTTCCATAAATTTTCAATTTCTATTGAATATTTTTATCACCAATAAGTTTGTTTATTTTTAAATTGGTTTTTTCTTGGTTCTATTCTATTAGTTATTTGATCAATTTTTTGATTTATAATATAGAATTGATT